ATCAGAAAACTTATATATATTCCTTGTGAAGGCAATAATAATTAATAAAATGACTTGTTAGTCATTTATCTGCATGCCTCGCGGAGGCTAAATGAAAAATTGTCGAGGGGGATGTGCTTAAGCCCGTAAGGGAGTCACCTAAAGAAGAAACCCAACTTCTGTGATTGGAGATCCTATGAAGGAAGTTCAATGTGGTAGAAACAATCCATATTGCGTGACTCATTATAGCACTCATATTATAATGAAGATATCCATGAGATATTCTTCCACTCATCCCTATGACATTAGTGCAATTTTATGTGACGTTAGGAAGGGTATTAACCCTAAATGAGTTTTGAGGCGGGCAATCTCCCGCAGGGTACATGTCACATGTACTCTTGGAGAACTCACCTAAGTGAGAGTAGTTGTGAGGCCGCAACTGTGAGGATTGGGCTGTTGTCTAATAACTCTCATGAGAATCAAGTTCAAGCGCATGGCCATAAATAGCGCTAACCTGCGCCAAGTTTTTGATCGATACCATGTGTGTTACATTTAGTATTCTGGTAAAAAAGAAATCTAGTTCAAGACATAGTTCACTATGATTCCTTCAGATGAAAGTTGTTAACACTAAGTGTAGGTTCAAGTCCAAAAGACACCTACACCTATTGCATGGTATACAAGTTGCCCAAATTTCTTCCATTCATATCTATATATTTACTTCTTCTACATTTCTATGGAGTTTTGAATCTTGTGGGGGATTGTTGGTTATTTATTTTATTTTCTTAAAGATTCAAAACTTTATTTATTATTATTTTAAATAAAAAATATGAAGAGTCATATCCATTAGAGAAGTCATGTCTTTTATTAAGGGGTATGTATAGTTTTATAGATAGCGAACTCCATAAACAGAACAAAAACGTTAACATAGATTAAAATGTCTTCCTTCTCTCCCTACTACAGTACTCATATATAATCCTTATTATCTTCCTCCTCATCTTGATCATCAATGGGCAATTGATCACTACTTGGCACCCCATCTACCATAATCGTGCTTATGGATTAGACATTCTGTGAGATTCAAGGGTTGTATCTTGGAGTTGTAGATAGCCGTTATAACCGGCACGTAGGGAGGCGTCTACGACTTTAGGACAGTGACAACACGCCTCTCTTGATATCACAGGCTAGATCATTCTTTACCTTTTCCTTTTTACTGTTTTATTTATTGATATACATGTTTGATGCATTTGGGTATTATCTAATTGATTGAAGTTACATGTGTATTATGATCATAATCATTTATATTATCTTACATATCACTCATCATATTACTTAGGCATATGTCGATATCTATTGACATGTGCACAACAAACCCACCAAGTTAATAAATTAAATTTTTTTTGCACGCTTCACTTTGTTACTATCTAAAAAACTTGTATTCAATACTGGGACCTTCCAAGATTCAAATCATAGATCTGCCGTTGCATCCTCGTCCCCATCCCTTATTTTCTTCTTGCATACCTTTCTCATTTGAGGCGAGTCCCAGCGCGGATCACATTTAAAAAGGAAAAATCATCCCTATAATTTTACAATCTAAAATAAGGCCTCCGGTGAAAGTTTAGTGTTTTGGTGCAGCAATCAGAGGATAATGCATATATATATTTATTATAGAAAAATTGTTTCATAAGTTTAAAGAATTTGTGCGATTGGCTAAAATGATCAACAACTAAATTTGGAATGATAAACTTGATCTCTCGCACTTATAGAATCATCATTTCATCCTAATAACCACATTATTATTATTTTTTAAATTAGTTAGTTCAACCCTAAAATGTTGTAGAATCATTAAAAAAAACACAATTCCACAAAGAATTTTATCTTTGTTTTGAGTTGAAAAAGACTTATGTGATATAGAACTATTTGATATGTGAGTGTTTAGTGTATAAACATAAAGTTGTCTTCACACTTTTTTCTTTAGATTAAAAGTAGAAGCAAATCGAATTTTAGCCTAACATATATTCATAAACACGTTATCTCACAAGGAAAAATGACTACTTTTAGCTCAAGTAGTAGTGAACATTGCTTGCGTCTAAGACTAAATTTCAATCTTCCCTCTCCCGCTGATTTGATTTCCTGATACAAGTAAAATTATAATCAAGTAATATAACACTTAGTTATTGAAGAAGACAAATAAGAAAAGTATAACAAAATAATTGATTATCATCACAATCAAGCAAAATGATGAAGGGAAAATATCAGCATCAAGAAAAACAGAAAGAAAAAGAATTATAGCGTGTTAAAAATTTTTTTTTCCGATGCAATGGTGTATTTTTATTAAGCGATTATTGATAAGGGTTAAAAGAATACAGACCTAGACAATATAAATCCATATCGAACTCGTCATTTGCGAGGCGAGTATCAAACTAAGTAAATGACGTGTTAAACTTTTAATTAAATTAGCACCATAAATTTATGATCAGATAAAAAGTTCGCCAGTAAACATCTAGGGAAACCAATATATAACGGGTCACTATTTTTTTTTCCTCAACTGGTTCAAAACCTATCATTAGTTCTAGATATAGTTGGTAGCTGGTCACTGAACCAACCGAATAAACACACTTTCAAACACTAGTGTAATATATAATTCCTGCGAAAAGTGATGTAGAATTTTGTGTGATTTGGTAATTTCCGAAATAATATAAAACAATTCCTTATATATAAGTCGACGGACCGACAAATCATCCAATGGAAGACATGTGTTTTCTGGTCTATTTCTTTATTTACTTACGTATGTGCGCACGCAGACATGGAATCTATAATTAGTGGAAGATTAATTAACATATTAAATGCTTGTTATAAAGCATATGACGCTACTGGTTTTTGCCTTCAAATAATTTGATTATTATTTCTTAATATAAAGTTTTTGTCCCCTTACCATCCTCACATAGTAGACAACAAGCAATCCTCCCAAAATAGCATTTAACAACCCTAAAAAATCTCCCGAAAAGGCAAAACTGGGAAAAACTAACAAATGCGAAACAACCCATATAAGATAGCTTTCACACTCTTTAACAATCAAAATAATAATTATTTCGAGCTTGGAATTCAAAGGGGTTGAAGGGTTCCCATAAGGTGATGATCGTGACATAAAAAATGGGTGATGAAAGTGATGATGAGACCATAAGACAAAGAGGTTTTCCCGGAAAGGGTACTCTTTTCCTGGAAAGTTCCCCTCATGATTTAATTGGTCCACAGTCTACACCATCCATTATGTGTGATGTGTGGCTTGTTTTTAGAACAACCTTTCTCATCATTCATCATAGCTTGCCTGTAACGTAAACATGTAGTAGTTTTTGTTTGTCCTAATCAATTTGGACCGTCCATTTATCTGAGTATATAGCTAAAGCTACTATACCTTATTTATTGTGTATGGGTATTCCTATATTGTAAAGGTAGAGTATGCCGAGTTTCATTCTCCTCAATCATATAATTTAAAGAAATTATTATCACCTACCGTTTAATCTAATCCAACAAATGCGGTCTTTTAACTATTGATGTTTACTTTCTTGTCCACTTTACATTATATCAAATGGTAAGTAATCATTCTTTCCTTGAACTAAGGGCCAAAAAAGGGAACTGAGAAATATATATTTTTCAGATGGGATTTAGAAATTTTAATCCATATGAACGGAAGGTGGATTGGGTCCTTGTTAGGGTTGGGGTCCATGCATCATATGGGAAGAGGAGTCTGACTTTGATACAAAATCTCATGATAAGATTTTGTGAAAGAAAGAAGGCAAGAGAGCCATTGGCATATCACGTGGGTTGTGACCCTACTGGTCCTAGTAAAACCATGGCATGTCACGTGACCATAATCCTTTACTAAAATTATTAGTTTTTGTATTGTTTTTTGTTTTAGTGAACCATCCATTCCTTTCTTTCTCGTCACGCTTCTCACCACCCATTTTAGTAGTAGTGGTGGTCGACCTCTATCTATCTCTAAGCAACTGAATTACAGACAAATACATGTGAGCTAACGTCCCACCCCTTAACCCCACACTTACTTTTTATGTAATCATTCATTCCAATATTGTTTTCTTGGTCAAATGTGTGATAATTTCAAGAGAAAACATTTAACAACATCAATCAATTGTTCTTCGTTGTATCATGGGTAATAATGCTTGCTTTTCCAGACAATATTGTTGATTTTATAACTTACAAAAGTGTCAAAAATACACTTATTTACACGAATTAAGAAGGGATGATGGGATATGAGCATGTATAACAAAATAAGTAGGTATATGAGCAAGTGCCAAGTGGTCGGTACAAATGATACAATAGTTTACTTGAATTAATGAGTTTACTAATTCAAAAAGTGTGCTGAAAATTTAATTTTTCTCAAATGACACAAAATATATGGATTTACTTGACATGCGTGGTTTAGAGTGATTGCTTTTACTTAAGAATTAATACTTCTATCGTATACACTGTTTGGTTTGTGTGCGTGTGTTAAAAGATACGAAAGGAAAATGCATTTGTGGTAGATATTGTATTGTATTTATTCAGATAATTACGATTCATCAAAAAAACATTACCTTTGTTTGGTCGAGTGGTTCGAGATTTCAATCTTATCTTATATTTCATACATCAATGCCAACCTCTTTCACTTCAACTAATTAAGTCATGCGTGAGTGTTGTCGTTTGTTTAAACTTTCATAGATTAACTGAAATATTCATGCTCATACGTAAGCTATGCACGCTTGGTACAAAAATGAACTCCAAGAAAACAAAAATTTAAAAAAAAACATAGATCAATCAACAAACAAACAAATAATAGTAATCCCTTCATAGATATATTTCTTGACGATTTACAAAAATATATAAATAAAAAAAGTAAAAGTAATTGATCAGTAGTAACTATATTTTCTACAAATTAATTACACTAGTCCTTCAGAGTCCACTACAAAGCCCTTAACCAAAAATATAGGGGTCATGAGGGTTTGATTTCTCTTTCTTTTTTTTTCTTCTTATAAATCTAATCCTAACATAAATAGTAATTAATATTCTAATCAACAAGCTGCTGAGGGATTGGTAAAGTGATTGTAAAAATGAGGCTTTGAAGCCATAGAAAATGGGCTCTTGGATGATCCCTCACTACCAGCACCTCCGATTCTTTCACAAGATGGACACATAGTGAGGGTGGCTGTTGGCATATGCATGTACAAAGGTTGGTTTAATTTGAGTGCCTTCAGTTCTTGCAGCTCTTTTTGTAGCCTTCTGTTCTCATCTGTTAGTGTTTCACAGCACTTCTTCAAGAACTCACAGTCTACCTCAGTTTGCTTAAGCTTTGTCCTGCGAATTAACAAATCAAAGCCAGTATAATCAAATTTTTTGCATTAATTAATATCTGGACCTTTTTGGAAAATAACCCAAAAATTTTATCTGGAAATTAATTTTTAATATTTACCTGGCTCTCCTATTTTGGAACCATACTTCCACTTGTCTTGGCCTCAAGTTTAACTGCCTGGCTAAAGCTTGCTTTTGCTTCTGGAAATAAACCAATGAAATTAATATTAGTTTTCATAGAGACAATAATATTAATAAAAGATAAATGATTTTCGTAATATTATTTTTCATAGAGATAATAATAGTAATAAAAGATAAATGATTTTCGTACATTTTTTCGCCACATGTGAACATCGTTTGTAAAAAAAATCAAGATAACAGAAATAAACAGCGATGTGCATAAATCTTTCTCTAATCAAATAGCCTAACAAAATGATTAGAGAGAGAGAAATTACAGGATTGAGAGTGCTATGTTGTTTGAAGCTTTCCTCTAAGAGAGCAGATTGTTCCTTGGTGAGCCTGAGCTTCTTTCTAGCATTAGAACCGTCTTCATCTTCATCACTCACTCTTGAGGAGACTTTCTCATCGACATCAACCTCTTCACTGCTGAGGTCTCTCTCCCTCTTGACCACTCTACCACTAGAGAAGGAGTTAGAGACTGCGCTATGACTGTGAGGAGAGGACGCTGCGGCAGCTTGCCTGTACAAATCAATTGCTTCATCCTGAGAAGAATTACCAACCTTGTAAATATTGGAGGCTACTGTTTGTTGATGATATGGCTCACCAGAAAGACCTAAAGTTAAAGATGGCTCAAAAGCACCACTTGTTGGAGCAGAATTTAGGGAAGGCTTAATATTATTCTTTGCAAACTTTGTAAGGTTACAACTCTCCTGAGGAGCAGACGACGTCAGACCTAACCCTAATACAAGGCCTGTGTTGCAAGCATGATCATCGAAACCCATTTGGCAGAAGAAGGAGGAGGAGGAGGAGGAGGAGGAGGAGGAGATGTAATTGGGGGTTTGTTATGTGAAATGGGGGGTTGGGAGAGATAATATATATGGTTGAAGTTATGGGAGCAAAAGGGTGTGTGTTATGAGTTTTAGAGAGAGAGAGAGAGAGAGAGAGAGAGAATTAGGAATGAGACTTTTGTGGGGGCGCTGGGTGGGTGGGTGGGTGGCTATGATTATTAATCAAACGAAGGAATGAGTAGAGAAACGAATCTGGGGCATTGTGAAATTATGAAGGTACCTCCCTATCTCTCTACATAGGTTGACAATTTGAGTCCCACTACCATATAATATATATTCTTACATGCATAATCTCCATTCCATTATTATAACAACAAAACAATAGAACTCACATATATGCTTGCTGCTAGAATCCCATGGCAGTGGGAAACACATCAAAGAGGATGATTCGCTTGTGCTTCGCCACCCATTAACGTACCAATTCTAACTATTGCTAGCTACTACTTTAATTTTCTTTTCATTTATATGCTTCCTCTTGCGTTAGTAGGTTCTCACTTTACATGTATTTCAATTATTGGGTTATATGCTTCCTCTTGCGTTAGTAGGTTCTCACTTTACATGTATTTCAATTATTGGGCACACTTTTGCTCTGTGCTATCTTTACTTGTGTCTCAGCAGAAGTATTCCGTGACATATATATTATCATTAGAAATAAATGTTCTCTTGGTCACTACAAATGTATGATCATTTTTGTTGTTAAATTTGATATTAAGAGTGTATATTAAATAAAATTATTTTTAATATAATCATTTCAATCCATCAAATACAACTGTGAGTGATCAAATATTCTTAAACACTAGATAATCGAGGAAATATGACTTTTAATTATGCCCAATAAGCTAGTGTGGGATTTTGCTCATTCAAAGATTGCTTTATCTTATTGGAAAAGGAAATAAAATTAGAAAAAAAAAAATGAGAAGATCATGATTGGATATTAAGAAGTTCTTTTTAGTTGTATCAGCCCACATGAACTGTCTCCCACTCCATGTTTGCTTAATTCATGTGGCTAGAGAAGAGAGATGGACGTGCATCACATAGTGTCAACTCCTTGCTTACCAAATATTGCAATTCTAACTTTTATTTAAAGAGAGATGGGTGGATATATAGAATGGTGGGTGGTTTTTAATTTGTTTTGTTGGTTAATTAATTGGGATAGATTAATTAGAAGAGATGTCCACTATATTTCTCGAATTGCATATGTAATTAGTGTTGGATTAGCAGTAATTTCCTTTGTTTTCTCTGTTTGTTTTGTGATAAAGGAAAAGAGAAAGGGAAAAAGAAAAGTAGGTGGAAAACATGCACCATTGGAGGAGTAATGCTAGTAGTAGAATTCAATTCAAAAGAGTTATAATGGTGCCACGAGAATATAATTCATCAACAAGAATCCGGATATCTTTGCTTAACTAGAAAGTTGATGTGGAGTGTGTGGGACCTACTCTTCTCTCTTCATGTACATTTGATGATGATGATAATAACAATAATTATTATTATTATTATTGCATATGACCTTTTACTATAATGGTGAAAATGCATTGAGCCTTTGCATGGTGGTGTGAGTTCAAATCATGTCGATGTTTAATCTAACATCTAATTTAACAAAATCTATTATAAAAAGGAAAAAAAAATCATAATTATAATAATTAAGGACTCTCTCAATAATATTGCTTTGTCGGCGTACGATCGATGCTGATGAGCGGGATGAGTAGTTAGGTCACCTATAAGACATGATAACCCTAAAATAATGCAACGCAAGAGAACAGCAATTCAAGCTTCTAATGCATGCATGCTTATTAACTCCAATTATAATCTTTTTAAGGACAAATAATTAGGCTTTGAGAGGAGGAGGAGGAGTACTATTTAATTATTTAAGGCCCCACTGACCAGTCATTGATGAGAATAGTGCGGGGGCATTAGTATTGCTCCACCAAAATACAACGTCCACACTTATATATGGATTATTTGTCACATTACGTTTTGGTACAAAATTTTTGCAGGAACATTAGTATTGATCCACCAAAATACAACGTCCATATATATATATATATGGATTTTTGTCACATTATGTTTTTGACACAATATTTTGCAATGTTGGGATAGGAATTGATGTTAAACAATGAGATTGTAGAGAATCCATAAAGTCCTACTTTGTGAAAGTCCCCTTAGCATTTCTCTAATTGATTTTACCTGTTCAAGTTGAAAAATGATCGAAAGTAGTACTTTCTTAATCGTCAAGAATTCAAAGGGATTCTTTAATTATGGGTGATGTTAAAGAGATCAAATTTTTAGACTATCTTTTGTAAACTACATGATGTAAAGGTTGATGGTGGACTCTTTATTTAAATCATTAAAAAATGAGGCCAGTCATGAACCATCACATCATACATCTATAAAAAATGGTATAAAAATTTGGTCTTCCTAACATTTTTTAATTATTAAATACTTTCATTATCACATGATTTTTGAAATGCCATACATGCAACTCTGTTCAATGGTGCACATGCCACTATTTCAATAAGTCTTTCAAAATGTAGACCCAAATAATAAAGACAGTTTTTTAAAATAAGGGTAAATCACACAAAACTACCTTGTCTTTAAAAAGTTTCAATGTCATACCTCATCTACAAATTTGTTGCAATGTCATACCTTCCGTCAGTTTGTTTGTTAATCCTTTGTTAAATGCTGACGTGGCTGAAGCGGGACCCACTCTTTATTAAAAAAATTTACTAAATATTAAAAATTTATTAAAAAATTAATGAATTATTTTAATTCTCAAAAAAAAAAATAAATAAATAAATTAAGGGACCCACCAGTCCACCCGTGTCACCCCTCTATTTCTTCTTCTTCTGTTCTTCCCCATTCACCCGTGTCCCCCTCCCACCCCCAACCTTCCTTCACCACCCCTTCCCTCACCTCTTCTTCCACCGCCCCTTTATCCCACCCAAAACCCAGATCCCCTCCCTACAACCCCCGACCCCTTCCCCACCCACGCCAACATCTTTCCCCCCAGACCCACCACCTCCTTCTCTTATTCTTCTTCTTCTGTTCTTCCCCATCCACCTGTGTCCCCTTCCCCACCCCCAACCTTCCTTCACCACCCCATCGTCGCCCTCTCTTCCTCCATCTCCACCTCCTTCCATCTCACCCATGGATCCTCCTTCCCTCTGTCGATTTGGACCCTAGCTGGCAAAACAGCAACATCGACTCGAACCTAGACTGGGTGTTTGTTGGGTCGGGCGTGTTCAAGAGCAGTGACCCGATGAAGCGGACAAGGTTTATTGTGCAAGCGGTGACGCACTCTCAAGACCCGGATGTGCTGTCAGAGGTGAGCTGCAGGTTGGAGGAGGCGATGGTGGGGTTTAAGGGAGTGTTTGGATGGATTAGTGGGTTTAAAGGACTTTTTGGGTGGATTGTTGATGTGGTGTTCCTCGTCGGCGTGGATATGGGGAAGAGAGGGCGGCGGTAGGGTGGTGATGGAAGGTTGGGGGTAGGAGGCGGATACGGGTAGATGGTGAAGAACAAAAGAAGAATAAGAAGAAGAGGGGGGGACACGGGTGGACGGGTGGGTCCCCCAAATTTTTTTTTTTGAGAATTAAAAAAAATAATTAATTTTTAAATAAATAATTAATTTTTTTAATAAAGAGTGGGTCCCACTTCCAGCCACGTCAGCATTTAACAGAGAATTAACAGACAAACTGATGGAAGGTATGACATTGCAACAAATTTGTAGATGAGGTATGACATTGAAATTTTTTAAAGACGAAGTACGAAACTATTAATGACCCAATAGTTGAGGTAGTTTTGTGTAATTTACCCTTAAAATAACTTCAAAGCGCTTTAGGTTATCAAGATGTTTATGATAATGTTTGACAAGAAAAAACTAGAAATGCATTTGAGTTATAAAAAAACATTTGAAATAATTTCTAGAAGAAGCATCTACTATGTTTTTTTTTTTGGAAACATTTTAAGTACGTACTTTTTCAAGAAACACTTGCATTTTATTAAAAATAACGGAGTTATTCTAATATAAGTGCTTTTATGAAAAACGCTTCTAAATAAAAATACTTTTTAGAGACCTAACACACACACACACACACACACACACACACACACACATATATATTTTATGCTTTTATGAAAAACGCTTCTAAATAAAAATACTTTTTAGAGACCTAACACACACACACACTCACACACTCACACACACACACATATATATTTTATTTTTGAGTAAACTGTCGATTTGCCCCCTGAACTATCACCCAACTTTCAATTTCCCCCCTGAACTTTTTAATTGGAAAATTAAGGACTTAAACTAATTTTTTTGGCCAATTTCCCCCCTACAGTTAGTTTTTCATAGATTTCATCCAAATTAACGTTAACTCTTATCATATGCAAACCACGTAACTCTCATTTGTGGACAAAAGTGTCATTTCACTAGACCTTTAGATACAAAAGCTATAGAATCACACATATTTGCATAGGTTTATATTTTAGAAATCTAAGGTTTTCAATTATTTTAAAGAATGAAGCGACCGAACTACCCACACATGTTGTGCATATGCTTCCATTTAACAAAAATTTGGATGGAATGAATGAAAAATTAACAGCAGGGGGCAAATCGGCCAAAAAAATTAGTTTAAGTCCTTAATTTTCCAATTAAAAAGTTCAGGGGGGAAATCGAAAGTTGGGTGATAGTTCAGGGGGCAAATCGGCAGTATACTCTTTATTTTTTTTCAACTTGTCGAATAAGCTCGAGACAAGTGATTATCAATATGCCAATATATGATCTACATATGCATTATTGTTATGCTATGTATATTTGAAGAATATTCATCACTCAATTTATTTGTTTTTTGATAATCAAGTTATTTATTTTGAAATTAGCTTCAGACCTAGATGCATATGGTAAAATACACTGCTTTAACCAATTTAATGAACCTAAGATTGCATCACATTCTAGTCCGGTAAAACTATTTGTTCTATATAATAATTTCTTCGCAACTCATGCC